GTCTGTTAGGAGTTTAAGGGGAAAAAAATCAAGCTGAAGCTTCCAGCAATGAGTTTCCTTAAATGTGCCCTTCAATTTCTACATCCTAAGTGACATCACACTTTCCTGCCACTGTGCATCACTACTGCCCCTAGACACGGGTGGGGTGTGGGGGGAGAGGGCTTAAAAGTGTTTCATTAACTTACTCCGTGTTCTTTATTATTAGAACATTTCCCTCTTTGTTTGTCACTTGGGCAGTGTTAAAGAAATAAAATGGCACTTTTCAAATATTCCACTAGTTCTCAGCAGGCTCCACTCCCCAGCCCAGTTCTGCCACAAGGAAGCTTTTCTAGATCATGTTTCTAGGGCCCCACTGCTCCCAGAAAGGATCCCAATATTCTCTGTGAACACTGCATATAGTATTTATCACTGTCACACTCCTACAATGTGCGTATTTTTAGCTTCTTTTACAAACTCAGAAGAGATTGCACTCACTCGCTACACCAAATTTCATCGCAGTCAGTGAAGGAGGAAAACGGGCCCTCTTCGCTCCTGAGTCAGATCATTTGCTAGGTGCTGACACTGCAGAGCTTACCGGAATTCTCACAACAGTCTCTGTGCGGCAGCTCCACTGAATGGGTGTGGAAATCAGCTCCAGGGAGGTTCAGGAGCCTGCCCCAGTGTCCTGTGCCAGAGCTGGGATTTGCACCCAAGATACTGAGTATTTGGAGAATCTCCCCTCTCCCCCACTCTGCCCTGTGGCTTGAGATAGACAGGAGTCCCTCCCACAGTGGCCAGGTTGATGGTTTTACTTGTCCACTCGTTATGACATCATCCAAAGGACATGACGAAGCTCTGAAAAGCTCCCATCTCTGGCCACATGAGTAGGAGCCCAATGTTCAGATGGTGAGATGGAAAAGTATCCTGTTTTCCCCACCAGTCTATTGCTGGGCTTTGCATCCAGCACTAGGAGCAGCACCTCCAAGAGGCATCCACAAACCAAGCTTTCCAAAAATCAAGGAATCCAGAAGCAACCTTCCTTGGGAAGTATTGCAAGGCCATGGAGGGGTGACATGAGAACTCTGCTAGACTAGAGACTGACTGTCCTGGAGACATAGGGATAGACTGTGTTGTTCCAGAGAGCAGATGGACCATTTGGTCATACAGGGGTATTAGATGGACGCTTCAGAGAAACTCTGTAAATACCTTACATCCAGACTTAGCAAGACACTTATGTAGAGTCCCCAAATACAAGGCAGAAGCAAGCACTGCACGGTGGGAGTTAGGTGGACTTGGAGATTGCTCATCACCTCATCAGCCCAGGCAGATAGCAGACAGGCATGAAGATGCCCCCAGCAATCCTCACCTCCCACTATTTACAGCTTTGTGTATCCTCTCCCACACTAACTCAGGGATGGCCCGGTGTGACCAGCACAATGCAGTGGAAGTGACAGTGTGTGACTTCCAAAGCTAGGACACAGAAACACTGCAGCCTCTAGTTTCCTCCATCTTTCCCTGTGCTGGAAGATGGCTATCATGCCATGGGATGCTCAAAGAGTTCCTGAGCAGTCCCAGCTACCAGCACTGACCTGCCCTGAGGTGAGTGGGCCACCTCAGATGTGGGATCTCAGGCCCAAGACAAGTCTGAAGCAGCATTCATGAGATGGGCCATGCCAAGACTGCCTAGCTGAGCAATTCTCCCAAGCGCCATCCCAGAGAAACCACAAGAGACATTAACTACTATCATAGCTGGAAGTCACTAAACTTGGGGTGACTTGTTGCACTGGTACAATAACCGGAGAACCTCACTATTCTAGGAGGACTGTGTATAGTGCCCTGCTCTAGGACTCAGCCCAGGCCTCAGTCCTGGGCCAACCTGGACATGGATGCACTGCTTAGCTTTGTAGATCAGTGACAGCGCCATAGCAAGCTAACTGAATGATAGAGGCAGAACCCAGGATGACCTGGAGCTGAGCGGAAATTATGAAGGTAATTTTCAATAGAAGCAAAGATGATTCAATTAGAAAACTCACTCATCATACCAAGACAAACCAAAGGAGACACTGGGGCACAGCAGGATGGGTGGCTGCAGGCTCAGCATGGGCTAGAAAGGAGTGCTCAGTGAGGCTCATGGAAGCACAGGACCTAGATAAAGGCAGTGAGCACGCTGCCTGGGTGAGGGCGACCCTTAACCCTTCCAACAGGAAGACTGAGCGCAGCTCTGGAAACTGTTTACCTGAGACACAGGTAACTCAGTCCTGCAAAGGAGATGGACAGGAAAGGGTAGAGGCCTCCTGAGAGAGACGGACAGGGAAGGGAGAAAGGAGTGAGGGCTCCCAGTCCCAAAGGAGAAGGGAGTGAGCACTCGAGAGCAGCAGAATCACGGCTTTAAATACAGAAAGAACCATTATGCAGCAGGAGGCCCTGGTGACAGGGCAGGATGGGGTAGGGAGGGACCTGTCTTGCCCATTGGTGAATACAGTGTGGAGCAGGAACAGGAGCTTCTGTAAAAGCTGACAGTTGCCAAAATATGAGAACCACGTGACAATGGAGAAGGTTCAGAAGGTCAGGCCCACGGCTTGGCCAAGCCAAGTGTGGCTGTCGCTCCATCAGAGGGCAGGGTGGGAAGAGAGCCGCCCTTCCCTCCTCCAAGGACCCCTCCTGCTGTGGCTCTGGGATTGTGTGAGTGGAACCTGCTGGATGAAGGCTCCACAGTGTTTCTCCCATACCAGCGGGTGTTCAAAGCACAGCACGTGGGGAAGGGAGATGGTTAAATGCAGATTCCAACGGAGCAGGGCTGGGATGGCACATCCCAGCAGACCCTCTGGCCTATAGGCTACACTTTACAGAAAGAACTTGGGAGTAACAGCAGATGGGACTGGGCCACCTAGCAAAAGCAAAGGACAATTTCAAAGTCTTCTAGCAGAGGATAGATGGCATGCAGGAGATGTGTGCACAAGCAGCAGGACTCTTTGATGTGACAGGAGAAGCTCTATGTGCCACTAGGGACTTGGTGACACTGATGTCCTTGATTTGCGGAATCCAGTCTTTAGAGTGGGCAGTCACTTTCCCAATGGCCAGGGTTTTATGTATCCCTTTGAGGTGAGCAGGGTGGAATCCTGTCAATCTGTACGGAGATCCCCACACAAGCATGGTGATCTGGTCTTTGGTTCTTAGCTGTAAACGGGAGTCTGCTTGCAGGGTTGCTATGCAAAGCATCACCCTGCACATAGTAGGTGCCTGATAAATGTTTCTTGCCCTTGATACAACACCAAGTGACCAATAAGCATTTGTTTCCTTCACTACAAGATGAACAGCCTAATGAACACTGGTCTCTATAACTTGAGTTGCCCTTCATCTAGAAGGGCACTGGTACGAAGTGCTGGGCTGTGTGTGAGACATGACCCCATTTTACAGAGGATAGTGGGCTTGTGCCTCGCGAGTCAGGCAGGACTCTTTCTGCTGGACTCTCAGAAACTGGTTTGTCTAAAGGGTCATTTCACCTGGCCCAGGCATCAGATTAGTAACTAATAAGATTTCATCCCATTTCTTTGAGAAAAAAGATGGTTTTCCCTTGCCAGCTGTGCCTTGAGAACAAAGCCAGATGGTCACCGGATTCAGGTAGAAGAGAAGGAACAGCCAGCCAGTGGACACCTCACCACAACTCCCAGGGACAGGTGAGTGGAGTGCACACCCTCCCCCACCTGACTGCCCCTTTGTTCCGGACAGAGGAAGTGGAGTGGGAGCTGAGGAGGGGCTGGGCCAGGCTAGCCGGGCCCCCAAGCAGAGATGACCACTAAGATGCCCACATGAGCCCAGTGTAGCCTCTCTGGGGAAAGCGAGGCACTTCGCTTCCACTGAGCTAAGGAAATGTTTGGTCTGTTGTCTCTGTAATGTGTGACCCACGGAGAACCTGCTTTTCTCTTCTTCCTTCAGTCCGTGACCAGTGAGAGGACCAAGTAGCTTCCATCACACTGAAATCTTAGCGTGAGGTGCCCTGACTTCCTTGGGAGGGACCCTGAAAACCACTGGCAGCCTGGATCCCTCCGAAGTCTGTGATTTACCCAGCAGCCTAGGTACAGAGAGAGCCTGACCTTGGACTTGAACTCAGACCACCCTAGAATAGGCCAGCCCACCACTTTCTAGGCATCGATTTTCACACCTGAGATTGGGGGGACAGTTGTAACATTTACCATACTGGACTCCTTAGGGAAATTAAGTGAAATATTACTGTATGTTGCAATGGATTGGAAGGTGCTATTCAAAGACTGTCAGTGTTTTACTTTTTCCCAGAACCAATAATAATAATAATAATGAGTGCTATTGAGATCCTGGAGCTATCGCGGTAGGGCGATTTCCTCCCTGGTTTGAGATGTCCTCGGTCTCTCCCAGATTTTGAAGATCTCGGCCTTTTGGCCCTGAAGATTCCAGCTCCTGTCGCACTTCCCTGCGGCCACCTTACCACCATTCTTCTTTCCCGTGCCATCCCGCGTACCCAACCCCCAAAACTTTCAGCCGGCTCCTCCTTGCGGGGTCTCCCAGATCGCAGCCGGGGAGGAGGGGGCCGTGAGCGCCGCGATCGCCTCTTGCGGGATCCCAGCAGCTGACCTCTGCCGGGCGCCGGGCACCCCAGCCGGCCGCGCTGGCCGCGGAACCGGGCCCTCGGCTGTGCTCTGCGGTGCAGCCCTCGGGCCCCTCCGACTGCGGAGCTGCCGACCGCAATGCAGCGCCGGCCCTCGAGTCCCGACCGCTCCGCGCTCCTCCGGGCGGGAGCTGCCGGGTCCGCGCGCCCAGCGCCCGGGCGGCTTCCCCAGCGCGCGCCTCTCCGCGCCGGCCTCGGCCTGCCCTCCCCGCAGCCGCCCCTCGGCCCCCCGGGGGTGGGGTTTCCCCGCGATCGCCCCTCCCGCTGCCCCTCACCACCGGTGCGCCTCCCCTCCCCCGTCCGCCCCTATGTATGTGTCACCGCGCGCCATGCCCGCCCACCTACCTACCTCCCCGCTCTTCCCGAGGGGGCTCGCAGAGCCGAGGACGCGCCGGCCCCGCTCAAGGTCTCTCCCTCGCTCTCTCCGTACCGTCACCTGACGCGGGGTGCTTAGGGGCTCCGGGCACCTTTCTGTGTCCCTTCCCTCGATCAGCCGCGACTCCGCAACCCAGCCGCCGCCGCCGCTGCGGCCACCGCCCCAGGGGACCTACGGACAGAAGGCCGGCCGCAGGAGGGTGCGCAGCGCCCGACCAGAGCGACCCCTCCGGTGCGCAGCGAGACCCAGGCCTCCGGGCCCCGGGATTCCCGGCCGCCTCACCAGGTGCACGAGACTGAAGTTCTTGGAGGAGGGAGTCCAACTCTTCAAGGTAACTGTCACCTTCCCTTCAGCACAAGGGGTTCCCGGGCGTCCGGGAGAGGTGCGGAGGTGCGCGCCTCGGGGCTGGGGACTGCGCCCCCGCGGTCTCCCCGCTGGGGCTCCGCACATCCCCAGCTGCATCTGCAAAAGAGTTGTGCAAACTTTCCGGCTCTTGCGGACTCACAGTGAATGGGGCAGAGGAACTTGGGAGGAGGGGCTCCTGCCTCCTCTCGCCCAGAATGAAGGAACGGCAGCCGTGTGCGTACATGTCCTGGGGCGGGGGGATATCCTGCCTATGGTCAAGGAAAAGTGAGTTCAAATCCCCGCGGCGCCTCTTTGGGTCTGTTGGAGACTTCAAATTACTGAGTCTGTTACCTGGGAATGGGGACTTCTTCCTGGTGGCAGGGGAACCCACGAAATGATGTGGACAGCAAGCTTGGAACGCAGGGATGCTGAGATGGGATACCGCGCGTCCTTGGTCCCTTGGCTTAGTGCAGAGACCATCAGGCATCTGAAGAGATGGGAACGGGCTGAGAGGACACTGGCAGAAGCTGGGACAGGGCAGCTCAAGACCAAGGAGGGCTCCAAACATGCCTCCGTCCACCAAGAAGGGACATTTCCCATGCCAAAAGAGTAGGGAAGATGGGGACACGGACCAGGGCCACGTTTTCCCTTCTGGGTTCCTCTAAGATGAAGCCGTGGATGGTGGAGCATCCTTGCCAACTCTGGGGGCGAGTAGGAAGCTGTCACTATGTCAAGTCAGCCCACATTCTAGGCCAGAGCAAGCTCCGGGTGGGGTAGGGTGGGGTGCAGGTTGCCTCAAGTGGGAGACAGGCTCCAACTCAAACTTTTCTGTCCTTATCCTCCATGCTGTCCTGGTCCTGGAGGCCCGGGTTCCAGGAGAGCTCCTCCTCAAGCAGCTCAGCTCCTCACATTGCTGATTGATGTGGAAACCCTGGTTCTGTGGGGGCAGCTGTCAGGGGCACAGGAGGGGGATGCAAAGCTGAATTGGATGAATGGGGTGCTTGGGCCCTGGTGTAGCAGTGGGTGCAGTTTAGGGAAACACAGCTGTTTCTCCACATCCCCTGATGAGGGCAAGGGGACCCAGGAAGGTGCGATGACTTTCTAAACGTGTGACTTAGGGACAGACACAAGACTGGGGTCTGGGTTTCCTGAGCCTGTAGCCAGACCCTGCTGGCCAAAGAGTCCAAAAGTTTTCTGGACTCCATCTCCATCTCTCTTGCTGGCCTTCTGAGTTGCTAAGGACAAGGACCAATCAATCCAGTTACCCATGTGCCCTTGGCAGTGCAGTTTCTAAGGCTCTGTGCAGACAGATGTGGGGTGCTGGCCTGTGGGCCACTAAGCCCAGGAACTGGGGGGCCATAGGAAGAAACCTCCCCACTGCCCTACAAGGGTTTCTGATCTGAAAGACAAAATACAGAAAGGTTTAATGAAGGAACTATCAGAAAGCAAAATGCTAGACATTCCAAGATACTGGAATTTTTTTGAGTTGTGTTTAATTTCGATATATTTATGTGCAGTTCCTAGGACCCAATGAGACATTCTCCAGTAACTCCTGATGCCACCCAGGTGTCAGGGTACTGCCACCCAGGTGCACAGTGGATAAGGCGACCCAAGCAAAATACTTAGCTCAGCACCCACAACTGGGCAAAGACTCAGTACCTGCTTGATACTGTTATTAATATTAAATAGTTCTTTTCCTAAAATTTTCCGTGAAAGTCACCCATACTTAATCATACGTACACTGGAATTCTCTCTTTCATGTTTGAAAGCCCTTGCTGCCCCACTCACTGCCAACTCAGGCACATATCCCCACCCCAGGATCCCCTATCCTGCAGGCGGGGGGGGCTTGCTCTGTCTCTACCTGCCCTCTCCCAGCCAAGGAAGGAGCTCCAGGAGCACACCATGCACAAGACAGACCCGGGTTCAAATCCCAGCACAGCCACGCAGTGACTATGTGGTCTTGATGAGGTTACTAAGTCTCCTTGAGGCTGAGTTTCCTTTCTCTCTATAAAAGGGAGAGAAACCTCCAGGAATGGACTTTTGTAAGGATTAGAAAGCATAATAAGCTGGGCTCAGTGGGCACACCTGTCTCCTCAGCACTCTGAGACTGAGCAAGAGGATCGCAGGTTCAAGGCTTACACAGAGAGACTGTCTCAAAAACACAAGACCTAATGTGTGTGCTTTGTCCTGCCTGGATTCTCAGCTGGGATAGCTCCTAGGTTCCCATGGGGTCACACGCTGTGAATTCAGGATAGTACAATTTTGGAAAGCTCTCTTAGTCAGACATTGCGTCCCAGCGCTTAGTGTGGGGATGCCCACAGACCTCTGTGTGGAGTCTCACTTTTGGTCTGTCTCTGTTTATGGGAACATATAGGATCCGATCTGTCCTGCTATAGCCTGTGACGTGGATTTAGTGGGACTCTTAACAAAATAGGAAAAATAAATAAGCTTTTAGTGCCTCCCATGTAGCTAAGGGTAACATTTCTAGAAATGTTTATTCCCTGTTGTGTATTTTACAGCTCTCTTCGAGGGTAAGAGGGCTCAGGAGGTACGTATTTATGTAAAAGCACACAAATTTAATAGTTGCACGATGTGTTTCTTGATGCAAGTTGTGGTCAGAGAAAGTCTAAAAGACACTAGTTGTATGATGCTATTTCTGTCTCTGGGAAGCTCCTGCTTTGTGGCTCCAGGTGGCAGGCACCGGGGTGCCCTAGCTGTAGCTGCACCAACACCTGGCCTGATCCTTAGTGTCTAGGGGTGAAGGCAGCCAGAAGTGAAGCCCGGGGTAGGCATGAAACACAAGCTCAAGAAAGAGGACTCAGAGAGGAAGCAAGCCAGCTGTGGGGGCTGCTGACAAGTAACACCAGGGAGGGGTCAGCTGAGTGCTGCCCTGGGAAAGGCTCTAAGGGTAGAGGCACATCTTGTCCCCCTGTGAAAGGATCTGGGCACCGTGTAGGGCTGGTGAGGGCGTAAGAGTGCGCTGAGAGGACCAGAGAGAGGGAGAATTTGTAAGGAAACTGGTAAAACGGTTCCTTTTTTCAAAAGTTGAATCCAAGGCAAGAACGGAAATGCTTGAGTTTACTTTTAAAAATTCAGAGCCTCCTTGTAAGCAGCAGAGTGAGTGTGTGTGCCCACGCTTGCTCCTCTGTGTGTGTGTGTGTGTGTGTGTGTGTGTGTGTGTGTGTGTGCGTGTATGTGTGTGTGCGCATGCGCGTGCGTGCACTGGAGGGCGGGCCTTGCGGGCTGGCTGGGGTTTGTAAGAGGTGACTTTGCTCGCTCTCAATGGCCTTACAGTGTACCCTAAAGAAGCTTTTTGTTAAACTCATGAATAGGTGGATTGGGGTGTGTGATGTTGGCCATCACAAGTTGGATATTTGGTTACCTTTGAGGTTACATGTTTTTTCTTTCACGACGTCTGCCCAAAAAAGGAGCCATGTCTGATTTGGCGGAGAGGGGTTGACTGTCTCAGTAACTGATTCAAGGGGCGAGAGTAAGAAAGAAAAAGGACAGGTCAGGTCGGCAGTGCCTGGCCTGGGGACAGCTCTTTTCGGCCCTTTGGCCTCTGGCTATGCCCAGATCAGATGCCCAGGGTCTCAAGATGACCTTCATTTAAGAGATCACAAGGGGCCATGAGACCCAAAGAAGGACAGAACCATCCTGTAGGCCAGCCCAGAGCAAATTGTTGGGGAGAATCAGATTGCTGTGTGAGACTCAGATGTTGGCACCCTCAGCTTAGAACATCCCACATCTTGGGGATCATTCATTCATTCGTCCATCTTCTGGCAGTATTCCCTACTCACCAGGCATTATGCTCGGTGTGGTCTACACAGCAGGAATAAAACAGTTCATTCTTCCTGCCTTCTGCCTCTGTGTCCTGACGATCTAATTCCAGGAGGGGCTGCAACCAGCTTGACCATGAGCTCTCTTTTCTATAAAGCAGTTGTTCTCAGTTGGGGGGTTCCTTTGCCTCCCCTGGGAACTTAGGGCTCTGTCTGCAGGTATTTGCTGTTGTCATTTTGTTTTGTTTTTCATTGTCACCATGTTGGGGAAGGGGCATGCTAGCATGTGGTGGGGAGAAGCTGGGAGACTGCCAACCACCTCAGGCTGGACAGGACACCCCATACACCGCTACGCACAGAGAACCGTGCAGCCCCAAATGCCAGGCATGACAAGGCTAAGAAATGACCCCACAGCGGCAGCAGGATGGGGGCGGAAGTGAGGGTCTGATCCACAGTGAAGAGCAGATGCCAGCTGAGAAGGGGGAAAGGTAGAGCCCTGAGGTCCGGTGGAGAGAACCAGGCTTTGGAATCCCAGGTGTGCCTCGCCTTCCCCTCTCAGCCTGTTTCTGCATCTGTGAAATGGACTTGTGGGACAGTGGTGAGGGTTCCACGTACAGCCAGGGAAGAATCTGGCACAAAGTAGACCTATAATGAAAAGGCAGATGTTATTATCTTTGGGGCCTTTCAAGGTTCCACTATGGAAAATTACAGCGTCAGCAGGTGTGGACATGTGATCTTGAAGCCAAAGAAGGTTGCTGTTTGGGGCAGGGTTGCCATAGTGATGCTTTATGCTGGGGGCTGGGGAGATGGGTGGTGGCATCTCCTCCTCCCACACAGCCCAGCGGGAGTGAAAACATCAGGAGGGCTTGCTCCTCCAGCAAGCCGGGGCTCCAGGGTGTGCAGAGGGAGGGCGAACCCGGGCATTGACTTGAGACGAAGGGGAGAAACCAAGTCTGCCACCACCGCTCGGGATCTCCTGAGACCCTGCTGTCTATAGAGGTCCCTTGTGGCAGTGCCCTGAAGTCAAGGCAGGGACCTTTTGTTTTTGGTGTGTGCTATACTTAACCCAGTGCTGGAGAATAGTTGAATGAATACGTGAATGAATGAATGGGCCACTGCACTTCAAACTCCTTTCAGTTCTTGACAAGAAGACCCGTAATACCCAAAGGGAAGTACTTCGCTTGGCCCCGCCTCTAGCCCTTTTGGG